TAAGGTTGCAGGGTGCATTTGACTTGAATAAATAAAATCAAACAAATTATTATTTGTACCAAATATCATTTACATAACTACATAAAGAATAGTTGTTCTTTGTTTTGAAAACAAATCAATAAACAAAAATAATATTAAATTGGATTTTTTTTTCAGTTTCAGTATATAACAAAAATTGGAGGCGTCTCAGAGAAAGATGCCACAGTAAGAGTTTTAAAGAAAATCTTCTCAAATAGCTTGGCAAAAGATTGCTCTTGGCTGGGGCTAAGAAACAACAATAAAATTCAAAATTTAAAATCTGTTGAAATATTGAAGGGTAAAAATGTAAATTTTATGGGATTTTTTATTAAATAAATTTTTTTAAGCTGCTGTGTGCACTTCGACAGACAAAAATTTTGAAGGCATAGTTTCCGAATGGTTCCGGCAGGCCAAACAAAGATTTGGTATACCCTATAGGGAAGCAAAAAACCCATGAAAAGAAGGTATATTAATATTAAATTCATGGGATTGCTTTATCTTTTTTACCATATATTTTTTAGCTTTGAAGTATTAATGTATTTGGGGATTTTTTTTGTTTGGAAAAACTTTTCGTTTGTTTTAAGAAGTTAGAAAGAAGAAATGATTTGTTTTTTTTTAATTAAAATAATTTTTAATAAACATTTGAACCAATTTGTTTTTTTTTTTAATCTCTTTCAGAATCATTTATTTTTGTAATGTTTACTTATTTTTTATGTAATATTTATTTATAATTTATTTAATATATTATCTAACTGGCATTAACAATTTCTTAGTTCTAATTTGGTATTATGGCAATTTTAAAATTTGGTTGATTTTTTTTCAAAAAATTTGCCATAATACCAAGTTAGGGCTAAGCAATTTTTAATACCAGTAAGATAATTTATTACATGAAATTATATTTATAAATATTTCATAAATAATATGTAAATATTGCATAAATTATATATAAATAAGTAAATGCAACATTTATGTAAATAGAATATAATTGTTTTATCACGTTTACATAACTATGATATGGCGCTGTAACATTACAGTTACATATCTATGATAAAACACTGTTACATCACAGATACATACCCAGGAAGGGGTCTTGAGGCGGACATAGGAGCATCACCATTACATATAGGTGACATAGCTGTTGCATAGTAAGGAACAATTTTTATGTAAATGTTATATCACTGTTACATAACTGATATGGCGCTGTAACATTACAGTTACATAACTATGATAAAACACTGTTACATCACAGTTACATACCCAGGAAGGCGTCTTGAGGCGGACATAGGAGCATTGCCATTACATATAGGTGACATAGCTGTTGCATAGTAAGGAACAATTTTTATGTAAATGTTATATCACTGTGACATGATTTGGTTTGCTGGGTAACTTTACCGCGGCGGTTTTTTTATCCTCTAGCGGTAAAAATTGTAGGTAGGAAATTAAAGGAGTTTTTGATCTGCTGCCGCGTGAACCCCTGGCAGTTCAAAAGAAAATGCCGCTGTTAAAAATTTATAAAAAATATATGAAAAATCTGACTTAAATATTTTCTAAAAAGACTTAAATCTTTTTCAAAAAGACTTAAATCTTTTTCAAAAAGACTTAAATCTTTTTCAAAAAGACTTAAATCTTTTTTTGACTTAAATCGTTTCTATCTGACTTAAATCGTATGTACTGATTTATAAATGACTTAAGTTTTTTCTATTTTGAAAAAAATATTTAAGTCACAAATCATTTTGAAAATTACTTAAATTTTAAGTCTTAAGTCAGTTTTAGAGAAATGACTTATTACCAAATGACTTAAGTCATTAAAACGATTTAAATCAAAAAAACGATTTAAGTTTTCTGAGAGCTTGCAGCTCTGGTGCCTAGTATATTTTTATCTTTGTTTTTTTACTTATATTCTTATCTTTCATGTACTGGCTGCATGTAAAGTATGATCGATTTCTCATCTGTATTCTTTGATTAATTTCCTCTGTTCAATCATTTTTGTTATTTATTATTTTTCCCAGATATTTAAAACTAGTCATATTTGTTGTTTCCTATTTCGGCTTTTTGTTGTTTAGTTCTGTTATCTTTATTGCACACCATCAGTTTTGTTTTTTCTTGGTTAATCGTCAGCCCTCTCTTCTTTGCTTCGTTTGCAATTTGTATCGTGATCTCCTTAAGTACATTATAATCCCTCGCTCACAATTGTGCCCTCGCTATTATTGCTATGTCATGCGCGTATGCAATTATTTCAAATAATAATTTATTTGTACGTATTTATGAGTTATTAGCCCTTTAGTAGCTGTCGACCTCATGGCTCCTTCTAATGCTAACATAAATAACGCTGCAGAAAGTGAATCGCCTTGTCTTACCCCTTTATTATATTCGAACTCTTCTGATTCCCCTTCTTGTCAGTACCTTTGCTTTCGATCTTTCCATAGTAATATGAACCAGGCTTTTTTAAATCTTCTTTTAAGGTTTTGCGATAAATGTTATCGAATGCTTGTTTGAAGTCTATAAATAATACATAAAGTCCTATTTTATGTTCGTGAGTTTTCTTTAGTATCTGCATCATGATATGTATTGGGTCTACAGTTGATTTTCCTTTTATAAATCCGTATTGATAATCCTAGACCACAGGTTGATAATCTCCTACTTCCTTTGTTACACACTTTTTGATTCTGTTGTTGATGATTCTTGTCAATTTATTTAGGTATACATACATGTCAGTTTTTTTTTCATTTACCAATTTAAATATTGATGTCAGTGTCAGTTGAAAATATAGTGTTTTGAAATTTTTTATGTTTTTTCTTCTTTTCAGCGGCGTCCGTAGAGGGGGCTGTAGTAAAAAAAATTTATAGGAACTTCTCATATTATTTTTATGTGTTCTATCTTTGGGACACCCTGTATAGTACTATGTTTTTGCTAGTACTCACAATCCACACAACAACGTCTGTTCGATCTCGTAGTAAAAATACTAAAAATCACTGCAATCTTTATTTATACTTTACCCAGCATATGTTTAAAGTGAAATTTGTATGATTTTTAATGGATTATCCACTTTACCCCAAACTATGAGTAAAGTGGATCACTATATAAATATAATATAATATATATATGTGGTCAATGCATAGCTGAATATCCAAGTTTCAGGCAAAATTTTCGAATATATTCGAACTATAGTTTTGGAACTAATTTGAAAAAAACAATATTTTTTATCCATTTGACGCTAATTGAAAAAAATTATGGTCATTACTGGAATCAACGCACCCAAATTATCCTAGAAAAGTTGTCGGCTCTCCTGTGGCACACCAAAAAGTTTAATTTGTCGACCAGTGCAAAAGTTAATATCTACTAAGGTTTATTTAAAATTTTAATTTCACAATAATATATTATTGCGTATTTTTGCGGTAATTAGGTACCTATAGGTATAATAACTATACCTATAACACTGTAGGTAAATTTTTAACTTTTGAAATATCACAGCTAAACGCTCGGACACGTAAACATAAATTTTGGTCGTAGATTCCAAATCTGTGATCGGTTTAGCTGTATCAGGTCTAAAAAGTGTTTCCTGTCGGAAATCCGATAAGGGGACACACTGTATACCGGTATATTATAATTTGTACAATAATATATTTCACCTCTTGTGCCAACATTCTTATGCTTTTTATTTCAATTAATATAATATCCTCAATTATACTCAATAAAAAAAAATTTGCAAAAAAAACATTTTGAATTTCCCAAATTATCTATAAAAAACCTTCAGGGACACGTGTTCCTTTTGATCAATTAACTTCAACTTTTGCAAGAATTTTTTTGATGTGGATCCAGCCAAATTTATTTTTTTTAAATTTATACAGGGTGTTTAAATTCATACAGGGTGTTTCCAATATCTTTGAATTTTGACCTGATACAACTAAACCAAGCATGAATTTGTAATCTACGACCAAAAATTAAGTTTACGTGTCCGAGCGTTTAGCTGTGATCACAATCCACACATGTGTGGATTGTGGCTGTGATATTTTCACCTCCCTACAGTGTAATCATTGGTCATGTAGCTTCAAGTACTAATTTAACAAAAAATAAATAAATTATAAACATTCATAAAATAAGTCCCTCGGTAAGTCCCATAAAAAAACTTTATTTTTAACAAAATAAAATCACTTAGCAAAAATTCAAGTTCAAAGTAATATTAATCAAACAATTTTTATTTAATTTCAACGTAAACCAATAAAAATTGGCAAGATAACAAATCAACTTGAAGGAAGTTGACTGTAATACCACAGCATAAGGATATCTTTTTGCTGTGGTAATACCAACAATATATGTACGAATTTGAATGTTTGCATATCGAAAAAAACGATTTTTTACAATATCTTGAAAACAAAGGCTTATTTTGCAAAATTATGGGTATTTTTGGAATCAGTGCACCAAATTACCTAAGAAAAGTTGTTGGTCACCCTGTAGCAAAATGGCTGTTGACCAATGTGCGAATTAAAAATAGGTTAACGTATTACTGTTACTGTTAGTATAAGTATTTTTCATGAATGCTTAAGAATCTTACGACTAAAATATTTTACCTTAGACATTTTTAATGCGTACTACCTTTGCAATTTAATAAAAGCAATGAGCATAAGACAAGATCTCAGCACATGCACATAGCAGCAACAGTCTTCTTTTTTTTATTCAAAACTGAGGGAACATACAACACTATTAAAACATGTATCCAAATACAATTGTAACTTAGGTTGCTGTATTCAACAAATATGTTGCCGGTCTGTACTGGCCTATACAAATAATTTTGACCGCCCAGATTACACCTAAGCCTAAAATCTTTCCTAATTGTTGTTTAATTTAATTTAATATTTAATATTAAATTAAATTTAATGGTGTAATAAAACATGGCTTATTTAACAAAACAAATATATTTACAATTTACACTAATATATTGTAAAAATTATAAACTAACTTGCAAGTTTTAAAGTAGCAATAGCCAAGAATCACAGTTTGAATGCAATTTTGTAAATACAAAATTCTCATAAATATAAAAGCTAAACTAGTTAATACAATAATATTTATAACATGTTATTTATTAAGAAATTATTATGTAAGTTTGTTTTTTTTTTATTTAGAACGTCCATTGCCAACTCTCAAATCCACCACAGCTAAATCGGAGGTTTGGTCGATTTTTATGTGATCTGCAACCTAAAGAACAAAAACAGTTTAGGTCAGTGGAGGCTGGTGGATTTTGGCACACCCATATCTCAGTTATTAGACATGGGACCCACATCAAATTTATATGAGTTTATAATGACATTATATAGACAAGTTCTGCCAAGCAAGATTTTATACCATTTCAAATTTTTTTTAATGTAGTAAAAGAAATAATAAAAATTATAAATGGTATAAATCCTGTAATTCTTGAATTTTTTTAATAAAATTTGAAATTTGTCGATAAACTTCAGTGATATAAATATTGTACCACTAATTTGAATTATCTTAATTTGGAGGGGCAGGGGGTGGGGGAAACTAGCTGAGAAACAAACTTTTTTTCGCAAACTTTAATTTAAATTCTGCTTGCGCAGATCTTGTCTATTTAATGTCATTATAAACTCATATAATTTTGGTGTAGGTCCCATGTCTAATAACTGAGATAAGGGTATACCCAAAATTCAGCAGCCGCCAAGTTTTAATATTGACAATAAATAGTTGTTTATGTCATTAGGTGAAGCACAGTTTAATTTGTTATACATAAAACGTACAATTAAATAAAAATTATTAAAATTAAAAAGTGAGGTAAGATTCGACAAAAGTTTAAAAAAAGTAAATAATGAATTTTTACTGCTTAGGCTGTAAAAAACCTAACACATTTCACTGGTAACAAGTCGCACATCCAGTTCAAGAACACCATTACTTAAAAATTAACAGTTCAAACCAAAAGAAAAAGTACCTACGCAGTCTTAAGAAGTTTTCTTAGTTTCATTCTTAATGTAATAAATGAGTATGAGTATAAGAGACGTTTAACCGGCCCCATTTCCTAATCGCTCTCGGGCCCCGCATAGGCCTCTGTCCATTGCGCCGATTTTCTTTCGCCACCAGCAACGGCTTCACCCGTGTTTGCTGGTTGCGAATGTTCATTGCGTCCCGTACTGTCCCATAATTAGGGCTCGAGAGAGAAATGCCAACAGTTTTAGTAGCCATTTCCGGGTTCGCCCAGTATACTATGACCCTGTAGGGTCATGAAGGAGGTAGGACGGAAGGGATAGATATTTTGTTGTTTAGGGGACAATTACACCGACTCAAACCTAAGTACGACGCGGTACCTCCCTAGACCAGACAGTTAGTATTACTCCACCCAACATTTGGGATTACTGTATGAAGTTCGGGAGTTGTTATTTTGCTGCAGGAGCCTACGTCTTGGTCTACGTTTTGTCGTTATTGTTCGTGTCCGTGTCCAAGTAGGATTGTTCCTGCACTTGTGTAGCCGGGTCGGGCCGTGTCTGCTGAAAATTATCTTGCTGAAAATTCGGGAACTGCTATACGTCGATTGTCTGCCCCACTGTGCGAAGCAATTCTTCAGTCTTGAGGCCGAAAACCATCAATAGATAGTTCAGTAGTCGGCCAAGTAACTTGTAGCTTTTTATGTTTTTTTAACGTTTATTACCGCAGTTACCATTAGAGTGTGATTAGTGTGCTGTTTTTACTATTTTTGGGTTTTCTTGATTTATTGAGTTTATGTTCTAAGTGTCAAATGTTTATTATTGGTCTCGTTTGGGTTAAAATTAAACTTTGTTATGTTGGGGCCGTTCTTTAAGTTACTGGGTGCTTTACGCATTTCTTGTTGACAGATTTATTGTCCTACTCAGCTTTGGTGTATGACCGCGATAGGTTCGAATGGGAAATTTTGTTTTTTTTGTTGTTTTTTTGTCTTTTTTCTTAATTATTTTATGGTGTTTGGTTAGTATTGTCTTTCTAATGTTGTTTCTTTTGTTGCTGATGTTTATTGTTTTTTTCTAGAGTTTCAATGTGCCTCCCTTAGAGTTTTAAAGGTATCTGTCGTGTTTAATTTTGCAAATTATGTGTTCGGTCATGCATATTAGGGTGGTCCTTAATAAGGTTATTTTCAAATTTCTTTGCTCCCAGGGGCTCAAATACTTCCAAATTGATAAAAAAAATTCCCTGAAAATTTGAGCTCTTAATATTAACTCTAAGATAGTGCGCATTCCAATCTAAGTTTCCTATGGAAATAACAGGAAAAATTACTTTTGTTGTTTATAATTTTATAACTTGGGAACGAATGAATTAAAAATTATAAATCATACATATTTTTATAGAGAATTTAACGCTCTACAAAAAAGGTCTCTTATAATTTTTCCATTAGTCTATTGGTTTAAAAGTTATTCAACGCCAAAGTTTAATTTTCATATTATTATTAATATTATCAAGGCTTTTTTATGAGGCGCCGTTTGTGTCAAAATTAAAAGTGCTAAATAAACTTATTTTGTTTTATAAATAATTAATTATATGCTTTACCAAATACCAAAATTTTATAAAATAATTTTTTTATAAAATAATTTTTTTTTTAAATAATTTTTTTTTTAAATAATTTTTTTATAAAATAATTCTTTTTTATAAAATTATTTTTTTTGATTTTTAGTTTTGTTTTAAGAGAATTGATTTATTTATTTTAATTTGTTTTCAAGAGAATTATTTTATTTATTTATTTTAGTTTTTAACAAGTGCTTTTTTATAAAAAACGTTTAAACATAAAGAATTCTTGTTAAAAACTAAAAATCAAAATAAATGTAGATAAAAAAATTAATAAATTAATGAATAAAACTAATAAATTATTATTTTCAATCGTTTCCCCAAATTGCGTCAAACAAAAGCCCAGTCCGTCATAAAATTGTATCTGCGGAGGGGCGTTCGGGTTTACTCGGGTTTACTCGAGTGTCTACAAACAAATAGAGATGGCTGCAGTAAAAATTAATTTATAAATGCGCCCGTCGTCTTTTATTAAATAATTTTTTATTCGAATTGAAAATTATTTTATAAAAAAATAATTTTATAAAAAAGAATTACTTATTTTATAAAAAAATTATTTAAAAAAAAAATTATTTTAAAAAAAAATAATTTTATAAAAAAATTATTTTATAAATAAATTATTTTATAAAATTTTTTACAAAAAAAAATATAAAAAAATTATTTTATAAAAAAATTATTTGGTAAAGCATATAATTAATTATTTATAAAACAAAATAAGTTTATTTAGCACTTTTAATTTTGACACAAACGGCGCCTCATAAAAATGCCTTGATAATATTAATAATAATATGAAAATTAAACTTTGACGTTAAATAACTTTTAAACAAATAGACTAATGGAAAAATTGTACGAGACCTTTTTTGTAGAGCGTTAAATTCTCTATAAAAATATGTATGATTTATAATTTTTAATTTATTCGTTTCCAAGTTATAAAATTATAAACAACAAAAGTAATTTTTCCTATGTTATTTCCATAGGAAACTTAGATTGGAATGCGCACTATCTTAGAGTTAATATTAAGAGCTCAAATTTTCAAGGAATTTTTTTTTATTAATTTGGAAGCATTTGAGCCCATGGGAGCAAAGAAATTTGAAAATAACCTTATTAAGGACCACCCTAATGCATATGGTTGAGGAAACTTATCAATTTTTTTTGCGGATTTCCTTTTCCCCTCTTGTTTGACCGCCCAGACGCTGACACTTGTCACTTAACTCTCTCTTATCATTTAACTCATTCTTGACCGTAGAGTAGTCTATACTCACTGCAGTTGTTACACTATAATTTGTTTGCACTTTATGAGAAATTATTTGTTGGTTTTGGCTTTTACGTTTTAAGAGCTCTCGCTGCTACAATGCGTCTTGCTGTGTCAAGTGCTGGAACGTGACTGTTTCATTCTTAATTTAATAAATATACTATTTTTTGTTTGATTTAAATAAATTATATTAACAAAAATCTGTTTTATTTAGTGTAGCTAAAAAAAGTCAATATGCCATAAACCTTTTTAATGCAGCATAATTAGAAAATATGAGACAAACTTGTAGTACAATACCAACATATTTTCTTTAAATATTGAAAGAAAATCTTTCTAAAAAATATAGACGTTTACGAAATATACTGATTAAAAACCATTTGATTTGCCATGCAGAGGTTGCAAAAGGGCGTAATTGTCGCCCTTACTGTCTTTAAAAAAATCCTTTAACCTTGATTTAAACTTGATTATCTCATTTGAATGTTTTTTGAGTTACGGTGGTCTTGAACTGGGTGTGCGAAGTGTTGAAAATAACGTTAAATTATAGATCAATTGAAGATAAAAATTATTATTGATTATAGGAATGTTTATGGTCATTCTACATGGTGTCCTAAAAATGGCGCACAGAGTGTTTTTTATTTAACGAACACGTTTATTTTTTGGGTGCCTTTTTAGAACATTTTTTTTCAATTTTCAAGTCTCTATTAGGTAATAGCCCAGTAAAAGTGTAAGATTTTATATAGGAAACCCTATTGGGTTGGGTTGGGTTGGGTTTATACCGGTTGGAATTTTATTTTTTTAATTGAGCAAAATTTTAAAAACAACCATAACAACCCCCGCTACGCTATGCACACACAGGGACTAACGGACTTAAGAAAACTGGTAATTTAGAGATACATTTTGCTCTCTGATGCGCTGTTACTTAAATATATTTAAAAAACCTCAACGATTAAAAAAATACTTATTTGGTAAGTAAGTAAATGGATCAAGTGTATACACTGGACCAATTTACTTAAAGTAAATGGTCATTTTAAAGGAAATCAAAAGCTACAAATTTTTTTTGGAAAAATTGTTGTTAAAAAAAGCGCAAAAAGGTTAAAAAAGGAGAAACAATTTTTTTAATCGTTGAGGTTTATTAAATATATTTAAGTAACAGCGCATCAGAGCAAAATGTATCTCTAAATTACCAGCCTATAGGTTGGACAATCTACAACCTTTTGACGTTTATTTAAAAATAACATTTTAACGATTTTGTTGGCAACAAATTAAAGTTATTTAAAAATATATTATACATGTAAAACTTACTTTGTTTAAAAATTCACGCTTTTGTTGGCAACAAATTAAAGTTATTCAAAAATATATTTTACATGTAAAACTTACTTTTTTTAAAAATTCACAGGATTTTTAGTTTTTTTCAAATTTATAAATTTCAAGTTAAAAGGCTTGTAATTAGGCAACTTTTCTCTAATTTAACTGATCTTGTAGCTTTTCAAATAAAAAATATACATAAAAGGATAGTTGGTGCACCCTTAATATCTATCACAGTTATAGAAATGACATAACTATAGTTGGGTATATACATTGACTCAATGTCATTGAGTATATCTTAAATCTTAAACAGTGTATCCTTAATAATGTTACTTACTACAAATAAATCAGGTGAGGTCACATGAGGGTGAAACCCGGTTTTAGTACATTCGGAAATGTATTTTAAACCAAATTCTGATAAATTAAAAAATCCATTCCTAAAATAAAAAAAACATATTAATAATATAGGAATATTCTATTTATCTTTAACTTACTGTGAATATTTTGGAGCACAAACAATTGCAATAGCCTCAGGCATAAGCAGTTGGTAAGGACATTGTGTGTGCAAGTCCACACTTGATAAAAATGCGGTTTGGGTGGGATGAGTCTAAAAAAGCTTAAATATTAACACCCTGTATCTTGAACTCTGAAGGTGACAAAATTAGTCAAATTAGCTTACATGTATCCAACCAATAGTAATTAGGTTGTAAGAATCTTGTATATCAAAAATTTCCTCCTCGCTCGTTGTAATACAAGAATCAGGTGTCCCTTTTTGTTTTGGTATTATTAGGTGCGTTATTTTTAATTCATGTTTTTCCTTAAAAAAGAAATTTTAATACATAAAAATAAGAAAAATGGTTAAGTAATTTTATTGTACTCACCAATGTTCCAGTTAAAATACCACATGTCTCAATATTTTGTGCAGTATTTGTAGCTGCTTTGACTTGAAACATTGTCATGACTTTTGCAGGAATAACAACAGTCCTAAGTATATTTTTATCATAATTATCCAATGTAGTTGAAGTTGAAGATGGTTTAGAACTTCTGTCGATACTTGGAGCACTTGGTGTATGTTTATTTGAAATTAAGGGCCTAAAATTTTTTTTTTTAATTTTATCCCCATGCACTCAAAGGGGTTTAGGTATCTTAAAAGGTTATGAATATTTAATTTTGGAAGGAATACAGTTAAAACACATTGTTTAGGATACACCCCTCTGTATGCAAACCATTTTTTTTTATATATTTACCCAGTTGGTTTTTGTGCAGATACAATATCTGGATCTGGATATGAAACATTAACAATACTTGGTGGTTTAACAGTTTCTGAGATAATTGTTGTAGGAGGTGTAAACGATGGTAAGTCAATATTTGGTAAACTTGGTTCTGGACTAGATATTTGTAATTCTGCTTGTTTCTTCTAAAAATTAATTACATGACAATTTTCACAAAATTAAAACTGATTTATACATACCAATTCTGCTTGATAAGTATTATAATCAACTGTATACTTTTGCAATAATTTTTCTTTTAATTTTTCAGCCTTAGGTAGTATTTCCCTTAATTTAATTTGTATTATTGACTTCATCTTAGTTGGGACAGTATTAAATTCAGGATGCTTTCTTATCTTCTCGATGAACAATGTCATGAACTTTAAATATAGTACGTATGCACTTTCAAGACTACCTTCGGCATGATAAACATTTGCCATTCTAACCATTTCCAAACCAGAACGATAATATCTACAAAATATAAAATATATTAACATTATTATCAATTATATTACTACCTAGCTGGGGGTACACTGGGATCAACATCAACCAAGTTACTGTAAATAATTAATTGTTTTAGCCTTTCTTGAGGTTGCAGCCCTTGTTGACTCGTCATGTTAACGTCGCCTTGTTTCATTTTAATCTCAATATAGATTTTACCGCCTAGGAAAAAATTCCATGAATCATAAAGTGATTTTTCACAGATTTGTTGAGATTTTAGGTTAGGTAAACGTCAGAAAAAGTATAAACGTCAAAACCAGGGTCAAAACCAAACAACAGCCGCTTGATTAGTGCTGCCATCTAAAGCTCGGTAAAAAAGATAACTGTAACTGATGTAAGCTGGATTCAGGGTGGATTCCACCCGGTGGAACCCTGATTTAAACATAGAATCATAGAAAACCCCGAAGGAATAAAGCACAGAACATAAGAATAAAGAATATCAGCCAAGTTCGCCGCGAACTGTTTGCGTTTTTCTATAATAGAAAAACGCGAACAGAAATTCTATTGCTTTGAGGCGAAATAATAGGTGTTTTCGCGGTGCTAATCCCGAACTAGTTCGGACATCCTAGGCATGCGCATTTTAATATTTGTCATGTGCACTTTACATTTTAAACCCCAAATTTCAAAAAGCGCATGCCTAGGATGTCCGGAATTAGTACAGGATTAGCTCCGCAAAAATAGCTATTATTAACCTAACAACATTGAGTAAATGCTAACAACCTAATTAGGTTGTTCTGATTGGTGGTTTTATCACATGACCGTAGATGATTCCGTGTCGTTCAAACTGTGGGGATTTTAGTGTGCTTCCCAGGGTACCCGTGTGTTCTTGTTTGGATTCAGATTAAATTTAAAACTTTTGGCTGATCTTTTATAGTTTTTGTCTCGATTAGTTTAATTTCTTATTTTATTATTGTGGTGCACTGGGAAACACACTACACACATAAGGTATTTATAGATTTAGCAGTTTTTATTAAGCAACAAGTTGTATTGAGTTTTAATTAAGTTTGGGTTTTCAAAATACCGGTAAGTTTTCTTTAGTTAAATTTTAAAGTTTTTTTTTATCTTGTTCTTGACGTTATTATTATTAAATGGGGGGTCATGTATTCTACTAAAAGAAAAATTGCAAGATTTTGCTGAGAACGTCGACTTCAAGAATAAAAGTATTGAAGGTATAATTGAGATACCCAGTGTAATAAGCAAAAAAAGAAAACTGCTCATCTTATCAATATATAGAACATGTCTTTGTAATTTTAATGATTTTATTGTTATATTTGAAGAAATCTTAAACAGTATATGTAAATTTATTAACTATGATGTTGTGTTATGTGGAGATTTTAATGTAAATCTATTATTAAACAATAATGAAAAATAATAATTTTCTGGACCTTCTAACAAGTGTGAATTTTAAACATACAATATTTTCACCTACTAGAGAGACAAAAGTCTCAAAATCTTTGTTGGATAACATTTTTGTAAATTTTAACCATTATAAAAATAACTCTGTAATCATTTCAGGCCTCTCTGATCATCATTCACAAAGAATTACATATGTTTCAAATTATAATATAGCTAAAAATAACTCAATGGTAACAAAAAGAATTTTTTCAGAAAATCGAATACAAAACATGTTCTTTGAATTGCAAAATCTAGAGTGGACAAACCTTTTACTAATGAATGATGTGAATATAGCATATCAATATTTTAGTGAAAACTTAAATTCCAAATTAAACCTTGTTTTCCCTAAAAGAAAAGTTGGAGAGAGATCTAGGGGGAGAACCACACACTGGATAACCCAGGGGATCAAAGTTTCAAGCAGAAGAAAAAGATTTCTATATGAAGAAAATGTAAAAGGTAACATATCTGATACAAACTATAAAAAATATTCTTCCATCTTGAAGAAGGTCATTAAAAAAGTCAAAACCATAAGTCAGTACACTTTTATCAAGAATTCTGATAACAAATCCAAAGCAACCTGGCTACTAATAGATCAAGAAACGAATTAAAACAGAAAAGTTAATTCTATTCTTACCAACTTTCCAGATCACGCTGAAATTGACGTATTGAATAATATTAATAACTTTTTTTATAAACACATGCCCAGAAATAAACAAAGATAAAAATCCAAATCTCTCTAAAGTTGATGCCTGTGTCAGTTCAGTGTTCATGATGCCTATCTCCGAACTTGAAACATACAAAATTATAATGAAGTTAAAAAATAAAAAATCAGTAGGGTATGATGAAATTCCTGTTTCCTTGTTAAAATACACGGCAGGTTGTTTTTCTGTGCCGCTAACGCATATAATTAATTGCTCTTTTACAACTGGGGTGTACCCTGAGGCGCTGAAGGAGGCAGTGGTCAGACCAATTTATAAAAAGAAAGGTGACAAAAGTGTCCTAAATAACTATAGGCCAATTTCTCTTCTTTCAAACATAAATAAGGTATTTGAAAAGGCAATTTATGATAGATTGATAAATTTTTTTGAAAAAAATAATACCATCATAAAACAGCAAAACGGGTTCCTAAAGGGGAAATCAACTGTTAAAGCCATATATCAAGCTTTAGAAGGGATAATAAAAGCCTTAAATGAAGGGAAAACCACAGCAACAATATGCCTAGATCTGTCCAAGGCCTTTGACAGTGTTGACCATGGGATTCTTCTGAAGAAGCTGGAGTTGTGTGGAGTTCGCGGGATGGCTTTACACTTGCTTGGCTCATATCTGCTAAACAGGAAACAAAGAGTAGTAGAGATTGGAGAAACGGGTAACCAAATTGCTTCGGAGTATGGGTACGTGAGCAGGGGAGTGCCTCAGGGTTCCATTCTGGGTCCATTGTTATATTTAATTTATATAAATGACATAATACATGCCTGTAGTAATGAGATGGTCATTTATGCGGATGAGACATCTGTCATTTATCATACAGAACATCTGGAAAGTTGTAAATTGCAGGTAAAGAGCACACTTGAGGTTTTAGATGAGTGGTTCTCCTCTAACAATCTTCTCTTAAATATATCAAAGACACAACTGGTTAGTTTTGGGATCAGATCGAATAACGCCTTTAGTTTGCAGCACGGGGAAACGACAATTTCAACGGTAGATAGCGTGTCATTCCTAGGAATAGAAATTGACAAAAAATTAGACTGGAAAAAACAAATTGATATATTAACAAACAATTTAAATAAATACTGCTTTGCATTAAGAACTATATCTAATAACATGTGAAGAAGCAGCCAAAATTGCCTATTTTGCATATATAGAGTCTAGGCTTAACTACGGAATAATATTCTGGGGTAATTCCGTTGAAGTTAATCGGGTCTTTGTGATGCAGAAGAGATGCGTTCGATCTATGTACAAGCTAAAGCAAAGAGAAAGTTGTAAACCGTTTTTTATAAGTAAGCGTCTTTTGACCCTGTATTGTTTGTATATTTATAATTGTGTAAAGTTTGTTACTGAAAATTTTGATTCATTTAAGAATTCCGAAACAAAACATGTATATGATACCAGGCAAAAGCATCTTCTTTTCACTGATAAGCCAAATTATACCTATGTCAAGAAAAATGTCACGCACAGTGTTATCAGAGTATGGAATAAATTGCCCAGTCCCTTTAGATTGTTACCGAAAAACACAATAAAATTGAGACTAAAACAATTTCTAAATCGGTGGTCTTATTACAATATGGCGGAGTTCTTTGATGAAACAAATTTTTTAGATCTGTAGTATTTTACCAAGGTTTTGTTTATTGAATGTGTTGTTTTTATTGTCTACAATTTATATATTTGATATATCAAATACTGTGATATGATCCACACCCTATGGGTATTATGTATGTAATTTTTAAGGATCAAATATACATTATTATTATTATTATTATTATTATTATTATTATTATTATTATTATGCAGTCGTCCGACTCCAAAAATTTCAGCAATATTTGAAATATTAAACGACTTACCTGTAGGAAGTTTAATATAAATTATATGAGTATCTTCTCCTCCAAATAGGTTCATACGTGTAGTTACCTAACTTGAGCACATTGTATGATTAACAAAAGGATGATTAATAACTGATACCTGCCGCCTAATAACCGATATTCTATTCATAACATTAAATGTAGGTTGCATAAAAAAAAACTGGGGTGGGTTTTAAAATACTTATGTATATATATATATATATATATATATATATATATATGTTACGGCTAATGTGCAAACTTGGATAGTTTATAAACTAGCTGGATAGTTTATAAACTAGCCAAACTGTCAGCTATTTTAATTGAAAATGTATTTTCAACTAAATTAGCGGCTAGTTTACAAAATAACCAAGGATCTTGGCTAATTTACTTGAAATTATTAGGGAAACTAAAATAGCTGGATAGTTTGTATACTATCTGTGGTATCCGAGTAGGGAACACTAAAACACTTGGTTTAGATAGCAGTAGTATATTTAGTCGCACAAATCTAATCTTTAATACAATTACTAGTACATGCATATAAAAGCACAATAATTCAACAAACTGTCTCATACGAGAGCTCTGGTAATACTGACTAATTATTACAGTTTAATATAAAATATATCATCATTTGGAACTTTATGTAATAACAAAATATATGACTTAATTCTATCAGCTTAGTCATTCATGCGCTCCCACATTCCGTCCCTTTTCTTCAGCTTAATAGCCTCCACCTTCTCAGCGATCTCTGAATTAACTGGTTGACTACTATCCTCTATTGTCATATCAGAAACAGGTTGGTGGTGTGATGTCTCTGCATTCTGTTCGGGGTGTGTTGAGGTCGAAGTTTGCAAATCTGAAAAACTAGTATTATTCGGAACTAGAGGATTTGCTTTCGTTGGTTCGCTGGTTTCGTTTGGTATCGGTTTAACATGACTTATGTGGCGTCTCATAGTTTTTCCATCTCCAAATAACTCGATTTCATTACCATGTCTACTCACGACGGTATATTCAATGTTCGCGAATCTAGAGGTAAGCTTATGAGGATAAATTAGGTTTTTTGCTAAAACTTTGTCTCCGACTTTTATGTTGTCTTGTTTTGATCCTCTTGCTTCATCTTCTCTCTTTTTTCCCTTATCTTTGTTTATGGTGTCTCTATCTTTTGCTTCTTCGTCCACTTCATCTATAATTATGTCATTTATAGATGGTATTTTGTCTCTTATCATTCGGTTAAATAAAAGTTCTGACGGTGATTTCCCCGTGGTACCATGGGGAGTTACATTGTACATTAAAAGGAACTTCTGAATTTCGTCTTTATAGTCGCTTCTTTGATT